GCAGGTGGGACCTCCTGCCCACGTCCAGGCGGCTGCCCCCGACCCATCTGCGAGACTGACGAAGAGACCGAGCCTCCTTAGTCAGGTTTATTTTCCTCTAGTAAGACAGTTCAGCATTTCAAAGTTTTACATTCTACACCCTTACAAACTTTAGTTATGAGCATCAGAAACACAAAAACATCGCAAGACCTCAAAACACAAATAAATACCAAATAAAACCTCACACAATATACAGTAAACAAAAATATGAAACATAATAATGCTATCAGAAAATTGGACATGTTGTTAACTCACATTAGCAACATGATTATTGCTGAGCAATAACTTAAACTGTCTTTTTGTTTTTTTTTTCTTAGAAGAGCAGAAAAACACGGGACGCGAATCACTGGTTACAACCACTTGGACTGTCCAGATGGGTCCTCGCAGCGAGCGGTTACCACAGACGGCAATTTTTAAAACAGGCAGATTAAAAATACAGAGTCAAATGGGAAACTGGCCTTTCTTTGGTCTTTGTTTTTGGGTAACAGAGCTGAACGGAGAGGCTTGCCGCCAGAGAAATGCAATTCTAAAAGTGTTACACAATCGCCTACATGGATTTACACACTTCCTTTGCCACAGGTGTCATCCGATGAGAAGTCCTGGAAATAATGCCGCTTTTGTGTTTACCAATTAGGTCACTGAGTTTGCTGTTGAAGGTTATCTTGCTTGTCTAAGGGGACTGAGTTATAAAAACCAACCACCGCGAACCGCAGGAGTGGAACAGCCGACCCGGACTTCCCCCTTCTCTTCGCGAGCGTTCGCGAGACAGACTAGACACAGCAGCAGCTTTTTTTTCACGTACTGCTCGGGCCTCTGCGAACCGGACCTCAGCCTGCCGGCCTCGGGGCACCGGGGGCCGGTGGAAAACGTCCCTGGGATGCTTCTGGGTCTCGCCTCCCTTCCCCCCGCTGGCCCTGGCTCCCTGGTGACAACCAGCACTGCCCAGACAGACAGGAATGATGACCAGGTCACCCCTCACGCTGGCCTCACCTGACCTGGACCCTAGTGGACACAAGTACCGGGACTGGCAACCGGAAGAGAAGTGTGGTCGTGGGCTGAGAAGTCGATGCGGGTGGCGGAACCTCCCTCGTCACAAACGCTCACCAGTGCGAAGGCGAAGGCGCCCCTAGGGCCCCGCCCGGCAGCCCCCACAGCCCAAGGGCGGTGAGGCCGGCCCTGCGGCCCTTTCCAGCACAGAGGGACACGCCTTGGAGGCTGAGGTTCGGGCCGGAGGCCCCACGAGGGTTTCTGAGCGCCTGCCCACCCCAGAGACAGCGGGGACACTGGGTCCGGACATGTCTGTGACGGGCGCAGAACACAGGGCTGGCGTCGCTCCTTCGCTGCCGAAGGCTGTTGGAGACCGCACCCCCAGGGCCCTGCAGCTCTGCCTGCCCCCTCTGGGCTGACAAGGAAATGACCCACCTCGGGACCTGGCCATCCCGAGGGGCCGACTACACTTTCCTCTGCCAGATGTCACCCACCAGCTGCAAGGCGCCACGCCCGCCACGGGGGACCACCACCGCGACCCTGCTGAGTGAGGGGGTGCTACTGGTGAGTGCAGGTGTCAACCGGGACATGTGGCCCCGAACTTGGGTGGCTGAGGACGCTGGAGGAGACAGGCTGGCTGTCCCCTTTCCTCACCAAGGTGGCCCAGGGGACACCTCGGGGGTCAGTCCTGCCCGAGACCGTTGGAACCGGCCGGCATCTGGAGGGAGGGCAGGCTTTGCGGGCCTCAGCCCTCTGGGGTCGCACGGCAAGGAAGGCCTGTGGCGGGGGCAGGAGCCGCTTGGCCAAGGGCTTCTCGCTCAACCAGCTGTATCAGCGTTAAGGGGCAGTGGGCACTGGGGGCAGGCTGGGAACTGGGGCCGTGACAGCGGCCATCATGACGCCCCCTCCTCTGTCCACCTGCACCATGAACACACACTGAGACTCACTCTCGGGGTCCAGCACCACCCTCCTGTGACAGGTCTGAGAACCCAGCCACATTCCTGTCTGCTGTCACCCGCGAACCCAGGGAATGGAAAAGCCCCGCTTATAAGGAAGGCCCAGGCCAGCGGCTGCGGGGGACACGTCCAGGCCCCGCCCGGCCCGCGGCCGCCCGGGAAGCCAACCTGCTGAGCTCGTGCGTGAGACTGAGGGCCGGTTTCTTTAAAGTACGGGATGGTTTTGTCACTTTTAGTAAATGCGAACAGTGCACACAAACACACTGCGTCCGACACACTTCGCTGTTGCCAGGGCCCCATGAAGCAGAGCGGGGTGCGGGGTGCGAGCGCCCAGGGCGGGGGTCGGGCCTTGGCCGCGAGGCGCAGGAAGGAGCCGGGAGAGGGCGTCCCGTCCGGGCCCCACCCAGGCCTCCAGGAGGCTGCTGCCCTGCGGGCCCTGGGCATGGGCAGGACAAGGACGGTGTGCACACGACAGTGGCCACAGAGCCTGCCACCTCTGAGTGCCACCAACCACGGCCAGGCCCCAGGATGGTGCTCCCGCGTCACACCTGCATGCGGGGCACAGTGCCAGCTCCTGAAGCCATGTCCTGTGGGCTTCTCGGGAGAGGAGCGAGCCTGCACAAGCCCCCACACCAGGCCGCTGCTCCCGGGCGGCCCACCCCGACGGGGCTTCCCCACGGAGGGAGGGGAAAGAATTGTTTTTCTTCCTTTTTGTTCCCCAGACCAAGATGTTGCTCATCCTAAATTTGTTAATATTGTCCATACTTTGAGCAAAGGGGGAAGGAATCACAGGGATGTCCCTGTTGGCAACCCCTGACCTCAGGAAGCCACCTGAGGCCAGGCAGGGGCTGCCTGGTGTCCTCCCTCCTCCAGGTCTGCAGGGTGGAACCAGGGTGAAGCCTGGGGGAGGTTGGGGACACCTTAGAGGGAACAGTGGTTCCACGGCACCTGCAGGAAGTCCTTCCTCTATGAGTGGGGACCCATGACTCCTGAATGGGCAGAACCGGTGACAGTGGTCCCCCCTCAGAGCCATCCTGGGCGTGGAGGAAGGAGAGGAGACGAAGCGAGCATCTTCACTGCCAAAGGATGTGGCAGGTGCCTGGAACCCAAGAGGTCACTTACGGAAGCACGGGGACGGTGTGCGAGAGGAGGGCACTTCCAGCAGGCACTGGGGCGAAGGCACACCCAGGGCGGGTGGCAGCACCAGAGACACGGTGGGCCACCGGGCACCAACCCAGCCGTCCCCGCACGACGTGGAGCCAGAGGCAGGCAGTCTGAGGTGCGCGGCCCAGCTGGCCGAGTGTGGGCGCGTCTTTTGGATGAGTGGCACAGATGCGGTGGGTCGCACACTGCTTGTGCCCAGGAAGCACCCATCACGTGTAGCACCCGTCAGTGGTTAGAGCACCCAGGAAGCGTGGTGCATAGCAGAGGGGCACAGGAGGCAGGGCTCCGGCTTCTAATCACAGTTGGACCATGGAGAGAAAGTAAACAGTGAGTTGAGAAGAGGCCGCAGGGCAGGCGCGGGCTGGCGGACGGGCCGGGACCAGCCTTCCCGAGGGAGGGGCGGTGCTGAGGCCTGGCGGCCAGCCTGGCGGGCCCAGAGCGGCGGTCTCTGGAATGCTCAGGGGATTCTGCCTCGCGTGGGGTGGGCTCCCCGGGCCCGGGTGGGGACACACAGAAGCACGGCTTCTGCTCCACTGCGGCCTCGGGGGCGGGGCCCGGCGGCCCACTTTGGGGCCCCGGAGGCCGCGGTGGAGCCTGAACCCCATAGTGCGGGCCGTGAGGCCCAGAGACAGGTCTGGCGGTCGAGGGAGAAGTCTGCTCACACTGCCGCTTGCTAGGATTACAGTGAACACAAAGCTCGGGTCGAGAAGCAGCATGTCACATCTAAGGCACATGTACAGCATGCCCCGTCTCTAGGCAAAGATGTCGCTTTCGGAGATCGTTAACAGAATGCAGCAATATGACAGAATGAAGACGCGTCTGCTGTGGCCTCCTTCAGCACAAGTCACCCGCCCATCCCCGGACACTGGACACTGAAGGTCGGTGTGGTCAGCAATCGACAGCTTGTCTGAACACATGGGGAAGAATTTTAAAACCTACAGGATTTTGTTTAGAACTCCAAAGTTCAACTAATGCCCTATTTTAGGGTGAAAACAATTATAAATCTGAAAATGATGCACAGCATCCATGAGCAATTTTCCTTTCATAATAATTTTGAAGTAGTGTCATTACTACGACAGATATCGAAGGTTTACATTTCTAACGAGAAATAACAACAGGTTGAATATTCTCTTTCCTATCACAAGTGATAACCAGTGTTTGATATTTTACATTTTCTTCCAAGAAATATAAGTCTATCAACGTTTTAAAATAAAATGTTTGCAGTAACAATTATCTTAGAACTTTAAATTAAAAAATGATTCTGAATTTAGAGACTTTCAAAAAAGACCTAGGTGTACTTCAGGGTCTTCTGACAAACAAATTATTAAAACAGAGACCAGATGAGGCCTTAAAAATAGACAATATACTGTATTTGAAACAAGATTGCACTCTTGAATTTTAGAATGAATATATCAGAATTGCATTATTATTTCATAAATTCTTCTTTCACTAAACATGCTGACATGTCCAGCTATCCCCAGGTGTGTGTGTGCGTGTGAGTGTGTGTGCGTGTGTGTGTGTGTGTGTGTGTTCTTTTTGGTGTTCAAGTTTAAGGAAGAAAAACTGTGGTTCTTTTGTTTAGTATATGTGTTTTTCACCTTAATTAACTAGATCTTTAAGAACGAAAATGAAAACCTTCTCCGGCAGCAGTGTCCGTCCCGCTGGAGGGCAAGCAGCCCCTCGGGGAGGCCTTGCTGGTCTGAGAGAACGTCCTCATGCGTCGCCTCCCGCCGGCCCGCGGCCGCCTCCTGCCACTTCCTCCGCTCCACAAGGTCCCTGCTGAGCGCGAGGACCGGTGGGGAGAC